GCCATTACATTTCATTCATCTTTGCTTTCCAAAACATTGCTCATCCATCGTCGAATGCAGTTTCGACCTGCCTTGAACCTCATCATAATCCCCGATGGGTACAATGAAAAAACATGCGAGTCCTTTATATTATTTTCGATATGAATATGTTTTAAATACATCAGTAATCGCTTAAACTGGGTTAACAACTGATAGTGGAATTTTTCCACAATGTTTTTCGTAGACCTCATGATCCTACTGAATTTCACACCGTCTTGCCTTATCCCGCTGGTCTGCACTACAGTTTCAATTTTTACTCATTTTCACCAACAAACTTCGACGGGATCAGGACTTAGGTCTTTCGCAACCGTTGAATCCATATTACTGGTAGTCACGAAGACAATACTTAATTCGAAAAATAAAGTGTAGTAGTCGATTGTTGTAGCAAATATACGTTTGCTTCATCGGCAATCCCACCAAAAGAATATGATATGGCAGAAAGGCCTAGCCTTCCTTGAAAAATTCACATTTGCCTTTTGACCCAAAAGGCGCTCGTGGCAGTGTAGCCGAGTGGTTAACGTGTCAAGCTCCCATCCTGCACTGTCGCGGTTCCAATCCCGCTGAGGGTTTTGATAAGACTGATGTGAGGTCGAAAGTGCAATCCACATCAGCTTGGATGAGAACAACTTTTGGGAAAGCAAGGCTATGTGAAATTCAATGGAAACATCGGCTCAACTCATATCATTGTGGGAAATTTCTTCTTCTAACAGTCCTTCATCACCTTAAACGAAATTGGGTGAACACATCTCATATTACTTCAACATGATCATGCAAATCTTTTATTTGACAAACTTTCTTCTTTATCGGAGTGGTTTGACCTCCTCTTCGCAACTTTTCAGTGTTGTCAAGCCGACTTAGATGAACGCAGCTTGTTTGAAGTCCTCTGCCACAGTGACAATTTTCAGCATTTGACAATGGACTTGGTACATTCCCAGAAGTTTCGCTGGCATCTCCATTGTATCTTGCCATTATTGGCACCAAGTTACACCTAGTCAACAGGAAAAGCGAATTTCTTCTCTTTACTAGCCTTCAGTTTAATCATTGTGGTATCATTACTTCTCCTGCCCTGCTACATCTACTCACCTCTTATCCTTTTGTTTCACTGTCTCTGTCACAGCTTTCAACTTGTTCATACTGAAATTCTTCAGAGATGTGTCATTTAGAGCGGGTTTACTGACGTCTTGTTACACTTCCCGTTGACTTACTTTGTCCCAGCGCCTCTTGTTTTGCCTAAATTTCTGACCTTTTAATCCAGTGACTTCTTCATTCAGCTCCTATAGGAATCTCCATTCTGACCTGAAGATTTTGTTCTTACCTTGTTGAATGATTTCGCTTGGCTTCAGCCACTTTGTGTTTTACTCAGGGTGGCAATTCTCATGGTCTGCCACAAGTGTTTGATAGCATGTTTATTGAGACCTGTATTCTATATTCCCCAGTCATACTCGTCAGTAGTTAGATTTTCTTGTGTAGTTGTAATTAGACTAGAAATCGAGGATCCTTTCTTCTGAATCCTCATTCCTTTGGTATATCGTTTTGGGAAAACAACTTCGGCATCCAAGAGAGGTAGCCACCCATTCTTCTCTACACTTATTCTGTATACGATAATTTATTACCCAAAAAAATTTTCAACTATTTTCTTTTAAATTTAGGCATTTATAGTCTGGATTTATTTGTTCTATTGCCTCAAGCTTCTGTAGGTGACTCCTTGGCATGTGCTCTTTTATTACCGAATTGTAGACTTTTGTTTATTCAATTTTGTGCCGAGTTAATTCTTTTAGATTAACACTATTTACATTTGTCTGCATTTAAAAGTATCATTTTATAGATGTTGCGCTTTTATTTGTGTACCTTATCGCTGTATCTAGTGATTTTCTTTAAGGTTTACATTATTCTTTTGCATTCAGAAATGCAATAAGACAAAATAAAGCTATCCATCTTAAAAGAAAGTCTGATTGTCGAACTAGCTATTAATTGTTGGGGTTTTTCCATGTCCTAGTTTACTTAGCTTCTTAGCCTTGGCCCGACTTTGTTTTCACAGCTTAATCGGAAAGTCAGGGAAACCTTGTCGAACGTATCTATTCCCTTGTCCTCTGCCATAATATTCGTAATTTCCAGCATTGGACCGTTGGCTGGATACATTCCCAAACCTTTCGCCGGCATCGTCATTGAAAAGTGCCAATATAGACACAGGGTTACAACCTTAGTTTTAATCAATCAACTGATGCCCTCAAACGAAGGTTAAATAATGCTTGTAGGGGTTCAGCAGACAAAATATTTTTTGAGACTAAATTGAAAAGCCACTTGCATTGCTACTCGGTTTATATTTTAGGATAGGATGTTCAGGAGAATAATCATTTAAGGTATAAAATTATTTAGGCGATAGTGGTGGCAACACACGATGAATGAAGTACAAATAGATATACATTCTGTAGGCATAGCATGACTCAGACAACAATGGAACCAAACTTGTCACTTATAAGTTGTAAC